GTAGGATTTGGGGGGGCGGGGGAGGGGGGGCGAAAGCCACCTGGTACACTTTGAGAAGTTTAATCAAGTAGGCTGGTCTGCCTTCTGAATGGAGAAGTTACGGGGGAAATCTTGTCCACCCGAGGTCATGTTGGGTGGGAAGGGTCTGAGCGTACATAGTCACCCGGCCGAAGCAGCCAGTTTTGCGGCCCGGTGTGGGGAGCAAAGCATGCGTGTATGTGTGCGTGTGAGCGTGCCTGGCTCTCCGTGTCTGTCTGTGCGCTCGCGGTCGCGCGTGGGTTTCTTTGGGAGGAGGGTCGCAACCTATCTTAGACCCTGACACGTCCGGATTCTGGCCTAGCAAGCCACGGCGACCCGCTCTGAGCTTTGCTTTAGAGGAAGAAGGGAGGCCTACTGAGAACTTGCACCAGGGTGGTGGCTTTCCAGGAGCCAGAGCAGGAAGGGAACCCTGGCTAGAAAGTTCAGCGTGGAACGAACACGACGCTAAGTCAGGGTCCCGGGACCGCTGCCACCAGCGTTCCTAATTGGGGACAGGAGGAGTCGAGCTTTATTCCCAGTTCCGGGGCCCTTGGACCGGGTACAGGGTACAGTTTGGGGAAAGGGCAGACTGAATTTATGTTCTCTGGAGACCCTTCCTGCTTGGCGTCCTACAACCACAGGAACCAGCCCAGCCCTGCCCCAAGTTCCTTTTCAAGCACAGCCTCGCAGCCCGGGCTTAGGCAGATGAGAGAGGGGGAGCGCCCATCAGTGACACCCCCCCCAACTTCCGCTGCTGTCCCAGTGGGGATCAGAGCGCTGCTACAGGCCGTAGAAGCAGCCAAGCCATCATTTTCCCAACCAAGGGTCTGCTGAACAGTCTGAATCCCTAGGCTTCTGGCTTCCAGCAGCCACTTGAAGTGTAGGGGAGAGGGGTATGGCGGGGACCTGGGGCTTGAGTCCTTCGAAAGTGTCTGGGAGGGAAAGGGATGATGCAGACAGACTTCTGAAGCTGCCCTAAGGCACTGGTACACATCCAGCCTCATGGAGAAGCCAGGGACCATTCTCCAAGACCCAACAGGGGACAGCCCCTTCCCTGCGGGAAAACCTTCCTTTCAAATACATGCTGCTCTCTGTGTCCCTCCAACTACCGAGTTCCACTTCCCCTCTAGTCTCTTGTCTATTCACTTTCCTGCAGACTTAATTTTGGCCATAGGTTAGGGAGCTTCTCAGAGCCTCTGAAGGCAATCAGGCCTGGATTCCCTCCCTGCTTCCCCCTCACCCAATGCCCAAGCCTCTCTGCTACCTCTCTTAGGCCAGGGAGGTGGGATTCAGCATTGTCACCAGATTTGAGTGAAAGCCTGTTACCAACCACACAGGAACCTTCTCTCCCCCTTCCCCACATCAATCTTTGAACACCCTCTCTTCCCGCACAATGTATCCGGAGCTTTCCCCTCAGCCTTTCAAATTCATTTTTTCATGTGGTTCAAGTGAAAGTCCTCTACCAGTTACTACTTGTCAACCCAGCCCTAGTGTCTGCTTTTGAGGAGACCGTGTGAGAGGGCTGGATATTGAAGAGGAAACTAAGGCCTCCTAGACTAGTGAGCAATGGTTCTCTTTTAGGGGACAGTTTGAATCCTCAGTATTACTCAAGCAACAAGCCAAATGCCATAAACAGACTCTTGGCATTTAACCTATGGATGCTTGAAGGCATCTTTATTAATATGCGTCTCACTTTGGATAGCTACTCAATAATGGCATCCCTAAATAATTTCTGAAATGCCATTTAAGCTAGTTCAGCAACAGACAGTAGCTTGTAGCCTAAATGGCAGTTTCCTGGCAGCTTATTCAACTAATGAACAAACAAAAGAGTGAAAGATAAAATTGCTTCCAGTTCTCAGTTCCCAAACATGAATGTTAGAGGCATCACTGAAGGAACACATAGTTCACACAAAGTAAAGATGCTGTATTTTGATTCTTAGAAAAGCAGCTTCCTTTTGGCTCTGCTCCCTTGTCCTAATGCACAAGACATGTCAGAGAAATACAGAAGAGACTGGTCTGGAGATGTTGTGTGTCAGTAGGACCTTGAACTTCAGTTGAACAGGTTCTTTTCCTAGGGTTTCAACAACAAAACAGAAATAGCACAGGCTTGGATGTAAGTTTCCCTAACAAAGAGACAATCTGTGGACACTATTTTTTTCTATGATATATCAAATAATCCCATTATGCTCGAGATTTCAGAAGTATGTTTAAATGTTTTGGTAGTTGGCACTGTGTAAATACAACTTTGGTCAATTACAGACTCCACATGATGGCCCCAAACACTTAACATTAGGCTATGCAGTTTTTTTCTTTTTTAGTATTCCTTTCTTCTTCTTTCTTGACTTAGTGAAATAGAGTCTTTCTATATATCTCAGGTTGGCCTTGAATTCACAACAGTTCTCCTTAGTCTCCCTAGTACTAGGATCACATGGAAACACTATACTTGACTCCACAATATCTTCACTGTAATTATTATTACTTTTACAAAATTGTGTGTGTGTGTGCGTGTGTGTGTTTGCGCGCGCATAGGCATGTGTGTGCCATGTATGCAAGTCAGAGGACAACTTTGTGGGAGTTGGTTCTCTCATTCTATAATGTGGGTCCTGGGTGCTAAACTCAGGTTGCCAGACTTGGCAGCAGTCACCTTTACCCTCTGAACCACCTTGCCAGACCTCCATAAAGATTTTAAGTGAGATTGGTTCAATAAAAAAATTAATTCACACTTGTTAGATTGAATGTATTTTTCACATGCAATAATTTCCACTGAAATCTCTGACTTATCTAAAGATGGTGATTAGCAATCTAAGGAATCTCCAAGGCACATATTTTCAAGGGGATTATAACACAAATTCACATTTATTCATTCATTCAACAAGCATAATTGGAAGCCTATTACATATTAGGTAACTGTCAAGAATTACTTGGGTTTTTTTTGTTTTTTGTTTTTTGTTTTTTGTTTTTTGTTTTTCAGTGCAAGGAACTGAACCCTGGACCTTGTGCTTGCTAGCCAAATCACCAACCCCTGTTTTCAAGAACTGATAATGTTCAGAGACATTATCAGGCTCCTATCTGGGAAACTATGGGGTTTTGTTTTGTTTTTCTTTCCTACAAATAAGCAAGGAGTCGCAACAAACATTCTATTTGAAATTTTCTATTACCTACTTTTCCTCTAGATGAAACAGTAAGATGCAGTGGTTTGAGGTTGTGAAGGCTTTTGCTGTTCACTCACAGTGGTGTTCCCAGGGAAAGCTGGAGAGGTTGTTTACAGGAGTTCTGGATGGTACCTGACCCTTACTCTGCAGATAGGATTTGTTTTAAAACCGAAAGTCAGGGCAACTGAGTGTGTATTTGTCAACAGAGTGTGTGCTCTACAACAAAAGAATTTTTACTTTTTTGGTTAGGACTAAAAACAAACTGTGTGTTGTTTTCAGCCATTATGGATCCAATATATGTCTATAGCACCATTATAGTCTTATTTTTTTAAACGAATGCAAAAATTATTCAAAATAATGACAATGGTGATTTTCTAAAATTCCCTATCGCAGTAAGAAATGGTTATTACATATTTGCTTGTTTGGGACCATTTTACCTTCACCTACTTGGCAATTTTGGAAACAGATGAATTTTATGTCCTTTTAAATTTAGGATTTCCTGTGTAACAACTTATACTCAGATGTAGTTTTTCTTATCAAGATCCTTCCCCTTCCTGTTTTGTTTCCTGTCTATAAAACATATATAATGATGATGATCATTCCTTAGGTGACTGATGGAGTTATTGAATATGGTGATCAAGTGACAGATTTGAGCAATGTCTCTTTAGAGGTGGCCAGTGTTATAATGCCCACCCCCACCCCACACCCACCCTTGCCTCTTCTAGAGCAATCTTGCTTGTCTATATTTCTGGACACCTGGAGCTGTGTCATTACCCATAGCTGCATTGTCTTTTGGTCACAACACCCAGGCAGAGTCTGTGGGCTGCAGAGAGCCCATTAATGAATGCTCTTCATGCAAATTAGCCAGAAGGCTGAGAGTTTTGGGTTGTTTGCCCCTGAAGCATCAAAAAAACAAAAAACCCAACCCTCATTCTTTCCTTTCCTTTCAAGTTTTGGCCTTACATTTTCTTCAGAGCCAAGAGGGTTTGAGAGCTCCTTGGTTGTAGAGCTGGTCAAGTGCATGCTTTTCCAAGGGCTTCATTTATAGTTGCTCATGAATCCCTTAAACTAAGATCCCTATGATTTTAGACCTCCTTATCAGTTTAGATTGCACAATCATCAGAATGAAAAAGGAAAGATTCCTTGAGATTAGGTGGTATTCTGACTAAAAATACGCATCTATCAAGTGGGAGTAAAGATGGTGAAAATACAGGCTCAGGATATTCAGGTCTGAGAATAGAATTTCTGATTCTCTCTGCAGGTGGGGTATGAAGTAGAATGCCAGGATGCTTGCCCGTTTTTATACTTCTGTAGGGATGTAAGAAGTGGAAAGGAGTACTTACTAAAGTACAGCAGGGTCGATGGAAAGAGCCATCGAACTTCCAGAAGGCAGCATTTGCCTCATGAAAAAGAGAGAAACTTCGGATGCCCAAAAGGTATACAAGAAAGATAGCAAAATGAAAATGAAGACAAGAATCCAGATCCTCCATCAGCAGCCATACCCTGTGACAGACCCAGAGGCAACTCCAAAGCCACCAGGGCAACTGCCTGTTCAGTTTGCCAAAGAGCCAGATGCTGTTGCTTGGAAGAATCTCTTCCACAGCTTGATGTCTGGGTCCTGTGATTGCCATCCAAAGAACAGTGGTGGGGCATGCTGGGATGAATGCAATCCTAGCATCCCACTATAGTGAGTTTTTTCTTTTCTTTTCTTTTCTTTTTTGGAGTAATTTTAAATTAAGTAAGTTTGAAAAGTCACACTTTTTAGTTTTCCAAAATTAAAAAGAAAAATTAGAGACTATAGTACAAATTAAGGCCATGTTTTTAGAAAATAAGTCCTCTAAAAACTTAGTGTTACTTATGGGTCGTGTTTAATTATCTTATCCCACAAGGACTGGGACATTTAGAGACAAAAGGCCATCTACTATCCATGGTGATGAGGTAAAAACCACTACATTCTAAAGGAGCAGTGGTACAAAAGACTCTTTTACGATTTATGATATTGAATGGCCACTTCCAATTTTTATTTAATGTTAGTTACACAATGATATTTTGGTTGTGGGTGCCACTGAAATGTGTTTTAGGTTTTTTAAGGCAGTATGGAACACTGATTATTGACAACAAAGAGAAAAAAGCATTGGCTGGTGTGTGTGTGGCAAGTCAATGGCATCTCCTCATCCACACCACAAGTAAACACACAGGAGGCATCTCCCTTTCCAAACCCACGTTAGTGTCTGCTGTGTTGAAGTAGGGTAAATAATAACCTCTGTCTTTGAGTCATTTGGTCCACTTCAACAAATGAATGTCATTTGATCCCTACCCACAACTAAAATCTCTACTTTCTGTGTAATCTTTTATTTTTTCTAATTATAGGAATTTCTTCCCTGAATATTCCCCGACTTTACCTAATAGGCTGATAGTAAGTGCCTGAGTGCCAGAGTGAATGTGTAATTTCTTTACTCATTGTGATGAATGTAAATCATGGCATGATTGATGCAGCCAGAGTAGTAGGCAATACTTTAAAACATAATCAAACTATTTAGATAGCAAGAACTTACTATTGAGCCATATTTCTCAACTGGGGGTGATTTTGCCTCCCAGGGGATCTTTGGCAGTGTCTGGAGACATTTTTGGTTACCACAACTGTCACCTACTGGGTAAAGACCAGAATCCTGCTTCATAGCCTGTAACACAGAGGAGAAGCTCTCCACGGCAGAGAATCACTGACCTATTTTTGTTGTTGTTGTTGTTTTTTGTTTTTGTTTTATGAGACAGCGTTTCTCTGTGGCTTTGGAGCCTGTCCTGGAACTAGCTCTTGTAGACCAGGGCTGGTCTCGAACTCACAGAGATCCGCCTGCCTCTGCCTCCCAAGTGCTGGGGTTAAAGGCGTGCACCACCAACGCCTGGCTATCTCTGACCTAATTGACAATAGTGTCTAGGCACAGAAATTCTGATCATGGGAAATAGATTACAGATAAAATATTACTAATGTGTAAAAATGATATGATAAACAATATACAAATGGTATCAATTCAGTTTTTTTTTTTAGAAAAAAAAACCTCTCTCATTCATTTATTTTCAAAATTTCTTCATCTTTGGGATCATAAAACCAACACATAAAACATTAGTGTTATTGTTACTTTATATGACAATTTTCTTTTAAAAATATTTTTATTTATTCTTTGTGAATTTTTTCCTGTTTTTTTTTTTTTCATTATATTTTGAGACAGGGTTTCTCTGTGTATCCCTGGCTGTCCTGGAACTTGTTCTATAGACGAGTCTGGCCTTGAACTCAGAGATCAGCCTGCCTCTGCCTCTTGGGTGTTGGGATTAAAGGCGTGCACCATCAAGCCCAGCTGTGAATTTCCTTTTATACTTTTTATAAATTTTTTCATATAGTAGATTTTGATCATGTTTGACCATCCTAGACCCTCTCCTAGACCCTAGACCCTAGACCCTAGACCCATCTCCTTACTCACCCAGCTTTATGATCTTCCTCTCACTCTTAAACAAACAAACAAACAAAATGTGGGGCTCCTTTTATGTTGGTCAAGCAGCAACTCCTGGGTGTGGGGCCTGCTTTGAAGTATAGTAGATATACCTGGTGACACTCCTTGGAGAAACCAGATTTTCATCTTGCCAGCACGTATCAATTGCAAACAGCTTCTTGGTTAGGGACAGGACCCCAAGTCCACTTTTCCCCTTCAGTTCTGAGATCCCATCAGACTCAAAGCTGTGAAGATCTTGTGTGTGCTGCCAGTCTCTGAGCTCATATGTGCATCAGTCCCATTGTACCTGGAGGACACTGGTTCCTTGGAGCCACCCACCACCTCTGGCACTTTCCATCCTTGGGCCTCCTCTTCTGCATAGATCCCTGTGCTTGAGGGGAGGGATTTGATGAAGGCATCTCATTTAGGACTGAAGGTTCAAAAGTCCTTCTGCACATTGTCTGATTGAGGGTCTCTGTTAATGCAAGAAGAAGCTTCTCTGATGAAGGTTGAGTGAGGCACGTCTCTGTGCACATATGTCACTGGGAGTCATTGTATTTCTCTGTTCCTTTAGCAAAATAATAGTATTGGATTTTCCCCTAGACCAGGACCTGTCTAGTCTCAGGTTCTTGGCCATTTTAGCAGTATCAGGTAAAATGATTTTCTTTTTAGAGAAAAATCTCAGGTAGCCCAGGGTGGCCTTGAACTCACACTGTGGCTGAGACTGACTTTGTATCCCTGATCCTTCTGTCTCTATTTCCAGCTGCTGGGATTACAGGTATGAGCCTGACTTGACAAAGACTCAGCTTTTATACAGTATGTTTCTCATCCTTACTTCAGTTGTTGAATCGTATAGTTAGCTACAGCTTAACGAATTGGAAGCAACTTTAAGTTATTATGCTCCTGCTTTATGAATATGATACTAATTCAGAGAGGGAAAAAAGATTTTGTTTTTAACTTTTTGTTTCTAAGAGGTATTTTCAGCCATGCATGGTGGCACACACCTTTGATCTTAGCACTCTAGAGGCAGAGGCAGACAGATTTCTGTGAGTTCAAGACCTGTCTTGTCTACATAGCAAGTGCCAGAACAGCCAAAGCTACATAGAGAGACCCTGTCTCAAAGCAAATCCAAGCAAGCAAGCAACCAACAAGACAGACAACAGGAAAAGGGTCTGTTTTCAGACAATTTAGTAGATGTATAGTATGGTAAAAAGGAAAATGAGACAATTTATAATCCTACCATCTTAACACATTGGTTTCTTTAAATTCAAATCTGTATTTATAGTCATTAGTTTCTTACTGTTGGAACAAATACAGTTCAACAAAGTATCTCATCATAGTTTTCATGATCTAAGCCCATCTCGATAGCAAATGAAAAGTGAAAATCTTGTTTTCATTTTTTTCCTCAGTCTCCCCACCCCCTTGGTATGGGTGAATTTGTTGATTTTCCTCTATTTCCTCCTCCTTCTTTGTCAAATTGTGTGTGATTGTACTAAATTGAAGCCATCTGCCTTAGAGAAACTTACTTGGGTAGTGCCATCATCTGCCCTGTAGGTTTTTCTCTCACAGGGCTAGTGTCCTCTCTCATGTGGAGATTGTCTCAAAAGATGCTAGCATTGTCAAAACAGCAGTAGTATTAATCAGCTATCTAGACCCAGAAGCAAGGAATGATTGTTTGAGACAAGACAGGGAGAGATGACCATCAAAGTCATGTCAGAAGTTATGGTGCTACCCCATCTATAGTGTAAAAACTGGAGAGCAGAGAGGTTTCAAAGAAGGGACCAGTGAGATGGCTCAGTGAGTAAAAGCACTTGCCATACAAGCCTGATGACCTGAGTTCAATCCCTGAAACCCACGTAAAGGTGAAAGGAGAGAACTAAATCCACAAAGTCGTTCTATGGTCTCCACATGTACACCATGACACATATCACCCATCATACACACACAATTAGATTTAAAAAGAAAAAGGCAGGACTGCTGGTGTTTGGTTCCATCTTCCATGGCTGGCTCTTTCCTGAAACTCCTGTGTTCTTCAGCTATTCCACTGGGCTCTGGCAAGCCCTGGTAGCATGTGCAAACTGACCAAACCTATGGGGATGTGGCTACAGATTCTAAGGAAACCAGGAGAACTGTGGAACAGGGCTACTACAGAGGATCCCCACTGGGCAGCATCCTTAGGGCACTCTCATAGCTGCACCAGGGTGAGGGCATCAGCACAGGCTTGTAATTCCTAAGCTGAGAATTAAGGCATGGGCTGTGCCCAGCAGAGCCACAGGGACAGATCCCCCAAAGTTGTAGGGAAAGAAACCTAGTACAGCAGGACTGGTGTTCCAGGGTCCCAAAGAGCAAAACTTCAAGCCAAGATCATTCTTTTTTTTTTTCTTTTTTTTTTGGGGGGGGGTTTCACATCAGGGTTTCTCTGTGTAGCTTTGGAGACTATCCTGGCATTTGCTCTGGAGACCAGGCTGGCCTTGAACTCAGAGAGATCC